GGGCCTCTATCCTCCAAAGATTATTTCTTGGAGACTGAGTTGTTATTATCACTTAAAAGTCATGATGGCATGGGGATTGCTTAAGCAAAAGATGGCACATTCTTGGTAGGAGAGAAATTTAATCTGTGCTTGATGCTCTGATTGAATGTAAATATTATTCATGGCATATAGCTTAGTCCTCTTTCCTAGTGGTTTTATAGCTTGGGCTTCATTGGGCTTCTATTGCTGAGCTACATCATTTCCTGAATATATCATCTGGATTGGAAGCACTTAACGAATTCTGGATTGACAGAGTATAAGGATCAGTGAAGCTGGAAACTGTTTATATTTTAAACTATCTAAACATATTATTCCCACTGTGCCTACTTTAGTTATTGTATGTGGGTCATAGCATATACTGTGGGGGCTCTTGTTGTATTTTTTCTGAAAATGCATGATGTTGTATTAGATATTCCTAAGGAGGAAAAAGCCATCTAAAAGACTCTCAGGTTCTCTATCTACTCTGATAAGTACAGAAGTGGCCTTTCAGAGGCAGTTGCCTACTCAGAGGGCAGAAAAGGGTCACAGCTTATGTCCAAAACATCTGGCTGACCCTCTTGATGATTACTGGTATATGACTTGCAGAAATGTGTTTTTCATGAACCTAAATTTGTAAGGAATGTCTTTGTGTGTCATTTCTAAACATTCTTCATCTGCCATTTCATCACATACTCCTAGGAGGAGCCATCACAGCATGACTGGTCAGTTTGCAAAAATGTACATTTGAGCCTGAAATACACAAAATTGAAACACTGAAACATAGTTTTAGGAAAGGGATCAGCAAACTCCAACACAAGTTCCAATGATTAAAGATGAACTCTGTGTCCAGGGTTTCAATGGTCAGAGTCAGCTGTAGGCAATGCTTCCCAGTTTCAGAGCCCTCAGGAATAGGCAGCTGAGATCTGTGACCATACAGCGCCAGATCGAAGCAGTATTTAATTTTCTATTTATTTTGCATTTCTATTATGTCTTTTTTGCAAGGTTCTCAGACAACTTCACAGCTGATGACTGCAGCACTGAAATGTTGCTGCCTTCAACCAAGTGTCACGTAAACAGTCAGGACCAATTGGCTCCTCACTGTACAGCATCCTCTGAATGCTGTAAAGTGTGTGAGTGTTGTATCTATATTTACCAGTACATACAGACTTTGTAGCTGGAAGTTCTGTGTGTGATGTGCCTACATTTACACATTTTTCATCCTCCCGAGGCTCATGCTGTTAGGGCAGTGCTCTTCATTTAATGGAATCACTTCTGATTTACACTCTTGTAAGTAAGACTGGAATTTGAGCCTTGATCTTTTTAATGCAAATTCATCAATTCTGTTTGATGAAAGGATTCCACTACGTTCTTTAGTCGCTTCTTGAAGTAAAATCATTTAATTAGTTCCAGGCAGCAAGAAGTCCCTACTCTTGCAATTAGCCCCAGAGCTGGAGCCTTGTGTTGGTAACCAAAACTCTTATTGTCTTGTTTTGAAGGAGTTATGTATTTTTCATGGACAGTGATCACTGATGACTGTTAACAATGACAACAATTTCAAAGCTGAAAGTTAAGAATAATAGGTTCTTATGTGTTAGTGCTCTTCTGGAGCACTATGTGTTCAAATGCATCCCTTCTTTTAATTCACATATTGTATTCAGCTTTTAAATTCACACCTGGGTGTTGATCTCACAGTGGTACAAATTAGAAGGTCACAGAGGTTTCCTTGATGTAAAATCAAAGTGAATTCAGAAGCACACTGCAGGTTCTGGAATAGTGTAAAGTAGAGGACATAAACATAACAAATAGCTGGCAAATCCAAAACTATATCAAGTAGCAAATCTCAACAATACTGCAAATTAACTGCTGTGGCAGGAGTGTCTGCAGTGGTGCTCAGAATGGAAAGAGCAGAACTCACTCACAGAGATCATAAAATAATTTTCTCCCCTGATCTTTGGCTCCTTAAACCAGAAGAGGCAGAACAAGCTGGCTCTGAGCAATCTTTTATCGGTGATGGATGTGGCACTGCTTTGTCCAGTAAAGTTGCTGATTTACTAATAGGAAAAAAATAAATCTTTAGTGATGACAACTACGTCTCTAACCTGATAGAAAAAAAGTTCAAACAGATGGGTATCTCTGAGACTGTGAGTGATGAAACAGTCTAGAAGAATATTGGTAGCATCTGATCTAATATTGAAACCTGCAGTCACATCACCAGCATCCCCGTCCAGATATATTCATTTTCTTTATGCTGAGAACATGGTCTGTGATATGGCAAGGTTTGATATAGCAGATATGGTTCTCCAACAAAAAGTTAACAGATGTTTTAAACAAATGTGAAATGTGCCCAGTGAAGATTTAGATTCCTTAGCCTTTCCTTCTTATTGCACTGACAGCAAATTTAAGAGACTGTTGACACTTCTAGTAAATTTTAAAAAATATAGGTCAGCTGCTCTACGGATTTTGGAGGGAGAGAAATACTTTTTTCTTTTTTTTGCTTACCTGAAAACATTACATAGGAGAATGCATTTTTAAAACTTATCATTGATGTATGAATTTCCATAAGGGTTTTTGATACTTGAATTTTTGTTCCTCAAGACTAATCTGATGGACCTCAAAAATTATTGCCATTAAGTTTGATTGACTTAAACTGATACTGACTACTGATACCAACCAGGTAAAGCATGTGAGAAAGAAAGTAAGCCCTACACTAATGGCAGAGCAGCCAAGGGGAACTTAGAAAATTGTTTGTGGAAAATACAGAGTTTGCAGTATGCCAAGTACATCAAAAGATTAATACCTATCACATATCGACGCTGAGCAAATGTATTTTGCTGATTAGAAATCAGAACTGAAGGGCTTCTAAGTGCGTCTTCTTTGTCACAGGGACTTAGGAAAAAAAATTTCTCCTGGCATAATTTTTTCTCCTCTGTAGACTGAAAAGGCAGTTGGGTAATTTTTGTGATTTCTATATGAAAGCATACTTATCCATTAATCCTTAAATAGTAACAATTGAGTATAACTTCACGTCAGAAACAGCTAATAAAAGTACAAAATAGGAATTAACGAACATTTTTACATTGAAGTTAGAGTTGGGAAGAAGGGGCATATGTAATCTCAGTATTTTCATAAGCACTGCAGCAAGCTGAAGAGGATTTGTTCTGTTTTGTTTGAAGAATGACAGCGTAAATTACAAGAGAGAGAAGCCATTATTCTAACAGGGAGGATTTCACAATATTCTTAATCCGTAACTGTACAAAAAGTTAATTGAAAATTCATTCCTTTTTGTCTGATATCTTTTAATCATCAATGCTGTACAATACTTCTGCTTGAACTAGCAAAGCACATGTGTAAGAGAGTTAAACCGATCATTTTAGTTATAAATTAGGACACATAAAGCTGTAGAAAATTCTTTCATTTCTAAATACAGAAATGAAGGACTACTCCCATTTGATCTTGAGGAACATGACTGTTTTAAAGGCTGGTCTTGCCCATGGCTTAGGAATGTACTGACATCTTATATAAGGCAAGAAAGATAGAAAGTAATGCAGTTACAGTTCCTGAAGCCCAGAAAAAAATTCAAAGTTGTCTCCGAGGCTGAGAAGAGAGCTAAAGATTTGTTTGATTTTAGGTATAAATAGCTGTAGAATATTTGTTTTATTCAGCAGCACTGAAATGACCTTTGGAGTATATAACATGTATCCCATTATGCAATTAATGGCAAGGTGGAACTTTAGGCAGTGACAGAAATGTTATTTTATTTATATGCATAGTGATATATAGTTTTTTGCTCAACTGCTTTTACAGCTTCACCAAGTTACAGAACAGTCAATAGCTGACGTTATGCCTCAGATAAACTAATACAATGTACATATCCATTGCAAGACAGAGCAAGGAAAATGTTAGCTTTATTTTTTGTGACCTTTAAATTCTGAGAACTGGCTAAAATCAATTTGTAGTTCAAAAAGGCAGGGTGATATCCACTCTAAACAGTAAAATTGCTTTGGCTTTGAAAGTGTGCATTAAAATACAACACCTAGGCAATAGCCATTGATTTGGATACAGAATGAGGAGTGAGAGTAGGTTTGTAAAGTGTAGGAGGTCAGGGAATACCCTAATACGTTTCAAGTGAGTCTGTCTTGAATGCTTAAGAAAAAGATTTAGAGGAAAAACAGGGAACTTGACCTAATAACTACTTTTATTAGGGAGTAAACATCAGTTCTCCTGGCAAATCACTCTGTGCAGTGAAAAGAGTACAGCCATCCAGACTGTCCCTAGAGAACTATGCATTGAATTATGAGAATTTCATTGAGAGAGCAAGATTGGATGACTGATAAGTGGTTGCTATGCTATTGCCATTTTCTGCTTGAGGTCAGGACCCAGCTTTCCTCCTGTCATAACAGAAGACCTCTTCTAATGATCAGTCCTCAGAGATTAATGGGCCAGCTGAGTGTCAGAATTCCCAAAGAAAGAATGCTGCTTAGGCTACAAAGGATGCTGTTGAAATGTTTTAATTATCTGTTGCCATCATGTTGCTGCTATAGTTGTTCTTACATGGCACTTTGTTCATCATCATCTTCACAGGTTACCTTGGAGAACAGATGCCTTGCCACAAATGACTTAGGAGGAAAGGAAAGCAGAGTGGTACTGGCATGCGTCATGTTCCTATCCTACGGAGGAGGAAACATGTTTTGAAATCATATGTCTGTGTGGTGGCAGAAATACAGATGTGGTGATTCATACATCTAATAAATCCTGTCCTGAAGAATCCTACTAGTGGCAAATGAGAGGGTGAATCTCATTGCTGAGAGACAGGGACTCCTGAAATAGGACGTGCTGCTTGTCAGGTAAGAGTATTCACAGTTGGAAAAAAGGCACTGGGGTTTGACTTTAAAGCACGCCGTATTGTAATGCCATGCTACTTCAGGTTCACTTACAGCCTTCATCTGCAAAACTATTTAAAAATTCCAAAAATTAGAAAGTACCTGGTCTGGAGGCTTTGCTGCAGGTTCTGCCATTTCCAAAAAACCCTGTTGGACATCGGCCACAGACATAGCCAATGTAAGGGGGTTTCCTATTGAAACACAGCACTCCAGGAAAGCATGGCCTGTTGGCACAGGTGGTAACATGGGGCTGATGTGCTGCGTGGCCTAGAAAAAAAAATGAAAGTTCAAACATGTTTTTTTTTGTCATTTCTCAGACAAAATGCATATATACAAGTAAGTATGTCTAAGCTCAGCTAAAGTTTTATAACTGCTTTTATTCTTTTGAAGAGTAATTAATGCAGAATGTTCCCAAACCTTGTGCCAAGCATGAGAATGTCCTGGAGGCACAGTATAACAGAACAGCTGTTTCTCATTAAAGCAAGATTTATTAGTCTTCTATATATTTACAAGTTTATAACTCAACGTTGCTAGGCATTTATCATTGATAATATAGGAACTGTAATTTTCAGTGGAAGTGAAAGATTAACTGAGTAAGAAACTGTTATTCAGATATCATTCTGGTCTCATATAATTGGAAAGTAATCACCAAATCTTATAGTACATATATACCTTATCTTTAAGAATTCACTGACAAGTACTTATGTTTCTGATCTAGAAATCATCTTCAAAGTATTGAACCTTGTATGACAAGAGACTGTTTTAATTATCTTAGAAATATGTGCTAAATTAAACACTGGTAGTATATGGTATTTTAACAGTTATGATGTCACTGAATAGCACAAATATGAACTCCCTGTGAAGTATTTAATACTGTCGACAGAGAACAGATGATGAATAAAATCTTAATGATGGTTGTAGATCTTTTATAATGGGCTCCATGAAGTCTCTATCATGATTCTCAAGCATTTCCAGTGTTGTCATTGCATGTTGCATACAACACTATGACAGATATGTAGAAAAGTCATTTTCTGGTTACGTTTTGGCTAGCCTGGCACAGATGTGTAAAAGAAGGTGAGAAAAAAAGACTATTTTCTCCCACATATGTCCCCACAAAACAGATATACCAAGTCTAAGTTATTCTCTTCCCTGCTCTCACTAGGAAATCATGGAAAAATGAAATACTGATTAGAAGTGGGTCAACATAAGCAATATATACTCTTTTTTGAAAGTGCTGCTGTGCTCTGGGTTCTGCTGTAATGATGACAGTCACATTCTGGGAAAAGCATCTGCTGTAGTCATATTGATTTATGCTCAAAGCTTGGTCTTAATGCAGTGACTGCCAGTCAGATGATGGAATAAAATTCAGCACCACTTGTTTATGGCAAGTTGGCATAAGCTGTCATTCTTATCATCTTGTTTTCCATTGATCACTATGATTTGGAGTGATTGTGTTCTGTCTTAAAACTGATGAGGTTGTACTTAAGCCTGACCAGTCTGATTGTTACCGCTCCAAGGGCTCTTTTCCCATGCAAAATTGTTTAGCAGCAATCTCCAGGCTGATGTGTTGAGGAGATTTTAACTCTATCTTTCTGTGATATATTATAAACTTTATAAATTTTGTATAAACAGTTTAAGTTTACTGTTAAAATGGTTAAATGTATGATTCCTGAATATGTAAACTGCAACGTAGGCATAGCATAGTGGACATGGTGGTATGGTTCTATGGTTGAACTAGGTGATCTTATTGGTCTTTTCTGGCCTTAACGAGTCTATGAACAGCTGAAAAATATTTTGTATTCTTTATACCTACCACGATTATTGCTTATGTTAAAATTCTTAATTACAGGAGAATTCTTTGCCTCTAAGGGTTGCAGTGGCCACTCAACCTCAGTTTTGTTCAAATCACCTTTGCCATTGTTGTTGTCAATGATTAAAGCTTTTGTAAAGTCAGCAGCAAGCACAGCTGTAAAAAGAAAACATGGAGACGAGGAAACAAGGTGTTAAGGGACTAGCTGTGATTGATGATAAAAAGCAACAGTAACAGCAAATCAGATAGTTTGACATCAGTTTGCTCTGGAAGCTGACCATCAAGCAAATAAAGGTAAATCAGGTGAGTCAGCTGCTGACATTCAGCAAAGCTCCTACACAAATATAGAAAAAATTACAATGCACAAACTCAATAATCCTTGCTTATCTGAGAAACTTAATATGCACAGTGATCTTTTATTGAGCTAAGGGCAGTAGGAAGGCATCAGGTCTCTGTGCAATGTGTGGTGTTGGATGAAGACTGTGCACAAATGCCTGGGACCTGAAGTTTGTTTGATTCCTGCCTCTCCTTGAAAGCTTCTGCCTGAAACTGTATTGTGTGTGTTTGTTGGCTTTAGTTCAGTTGCAAACTTTGTGTGTTTCAAAATATCTGTGCTAAGTATATATAAATGTAAAGAGAAAAGCTGATTGCTGGAACCTTTTGAAAATATCAACTTACAGAACATTTGAAGAGAATTTCTTGGACGATCTAGAGATTGCCAAGTCTTCATTTGTTCTAAGTTACACAACTGTTGTCCTGGGACTCCTGGATTTTCTGTGCTCCTAGCAAAGCCCGAGACTATGAAACTTATATACATTGAATAATGCAGTGAGCTATGAACCAATTTAGCAGTTATAAAGTTACTTCAGATTTCTCCTTCCTCTGAGAAGCCTTTACCTTTCAGTGAGGGAAGTATGGGTTGGCATGTTAAGCCTGTGTGTTAGTAGAAGGAAGGATGATTTCTAGTTACTCTATTTTGCTTGTTCTAACAAACTTGTATTTTAGAAATAAGGAAATATATCTGCAATTAAAAAATGCATGGGAAGAAGTTATGATTCTGATCTATTTTGAGCATAATTTTGTATAAATTTCCTTGTTAGTCAAATTACCTAGAAAAATAGAAAATCACGAAACAGGTGCAAAATCACTTTGAAATAATCAGCATAGCTAAACAAGACATTAAAGAAAACATTTCTGTACAGATGTTTGGCAATATGATTGAGGGGTTTCTTAGTAAACAGACAAAATCAGTTTTTTCTTTTGGCAGTCAATATAAGAAAAAGTTAACATCATTTTCTTCTTGGACTTGATCGGAAACCCCAACTACCGAGTGCACAATACATCAAATGTTGAGTTTTCTTGTTCTTGCTCACCAGATGTCATTATTGGAGAAGACTCGTGTGTACGCGACTGAAAAAAGCAGAGTGTGGGTATTTTACATCTCATGCAGTAGAAAGGTGGAACGTAGAAAGTAGAAAGGCGTGGTGGAAAGTCAATGTAGCTTCCTGCTGAAGAGTTTGCAGAGAACTGCCTCAGCAATGCATACTGGAGAGGTATTAAGTTGTTCCCAGCCTTTTATTTTGCTTGTTGGGATCTGTGGCATGACCTCATGCCAAACATAAGCTCAGTAGCTGTGAGCTTCGCCCTCTTGTGTAATGCACCTCAGAGAGAGGTGAAATTTGTAAAGGATTTGCACATGGACCTTCTTTCTCTTACCCCACATCCATTCTGCTCAGCATTCACTCAGAATGGAACTAATCCTGGAGGTGCTCCCCAGCTACTTGTTAGTGGATGATTTATTTAGGAGAGAAGTAGCGGGGAATCTGGAGAACGTCCTTGGCAAATTATCTGGCTGACATCTGAAAAATACCTTTTTTGTATGCTATGGTGTTCATTCTAATCAAAATGAAACTAAACTGCAGTGAAAAACAGCAAACTGAGACCAATTTGCAATTATCCATATTAATATAAGATGACAGTAGTCTGGTTTGTATATTTAAAAGTCTGTCCTTGAAGTGAATGACAAAGTACTCAATTGAGGATAACAGCAGTAGAAGTGGGCCCATTTTTACCCTTCTATTATAACAAATCATGCTCTTACATTTGCAAGTTTTACCATTTCCCTCCATCCCACTTGGACAAATTCCACATACGTATGATCCAAAGGTGTTCATGCAGGACACTCCAGGAAAACACAGACCTTCTTCACATTCATTCTTGTCTTCCTGACAAGTAAGCCCTGTGGCAGAACAAGCGGAGGTTAATAATCAGGAGATATTCCCTGTTTATTCTTCAGCTCAAATGTTCATTCAGAACATTTCAGGCTTATTTCTCATCTGTAAACTCATTACAGGGGATGTCACTCACGTTAGCATCAATTTCCCCACAACTGGCCTTAAACATACTTTTATCAGACTATTTAGTACTGTTGTTGGCACCAGGAGTGCTGAACTTGGGACTACAGCTCCTAGAAAACTGTGCTTATTAAATATATTATTGCTCTGCCTTTCATGTCTTACCTGCTGTTTTTGTTATCATGTTTATGTGAGATCTTTGTCATACACCAAAGCAGCCAATGTACCCATTTTGGCTTTAGGATACAAAGAGTCACATAGTGATACTCTGTGCTTTTCATTTCTATGGGAGTGTCACACTATTAATAGCTTATTGTACAACAGCCTGATAGAGTCTGGCTAAAGGTGAATCTGACAAAATGATCAAATTAAAAAAAACCAGGTTCTTCTATTTAAATTAAAATTTGAAGGAACTGTCTGAAAATATCTCTGAGCCACAGAGCTGGCATTCAGAAGATAAGCTACCATAGGATCTAAACCCCAAACATTGGATTGTGGCTATTGCTGATTTTGGATGTAAATATTTTAAAATCCCATGAAGTAATTCATGTTTGGAGTCACAGTGCTGGATGAATGAATGGATACCTGTAGAGGAGGCTGACCCCAAAGCTAAAATGACTATCTGAACATGAAATGATGTGGAGTAGTCAAATGCAATGTTGTTTATAGACTCACTTGAGCTTCAGATAAACATGCTGAATATGTGCACTTGAGAAAATTTGCTTGACTGCTGTTGGTTACTGGAACACATAGCCCAGTCTTGAACTATCCCATAACATCTGTGTTAAGGTATGCCCTTTGTTCTTTGCTCCTTGTAGAATATCCAATGAGATTGGGGCATTTTGTGGGGAGTCAGAGAAAAGGGACTTTATGGTGCCTAAGGTGCAGAATGGCTTGTTCCTTATTGGATATTCAGGTTGACTAAGATAGAATCTCTTTTTCTTCTTAAAACTTCTGTCTTCAAAACACACATTTGTCACAGAAGACTGAATTAAAGAAACAGAACATTGTTATTCATCTTCTGCAGCATAATCTCTCATTTCTTCAGTGTTTCAGAGAGGCTCCACAGCTCCTTTCAAGTTAAAATAGCATCTTCATGTAAGAAAATATAATTGAAGTGTCTCTTGGTTGTGCTGCCTCAGTGAAGCTAGTGACTTCACCTTCTCATGTCTGCTTTCTCTTGTGGGTAATAAAAAAAAATGAACAGCAGAACAAAAGTCATGTCCCTTTTCTGCTGCCAGCTGAATAGAGGTTGTTCTACTAGCACATGCTTCTTGCTTAGGAAAGCACTCCCTGTTTTATGCATGTTGGACATCACCTAGTGTTACAGGTATTAATTTATTTTTTCTCTTTTGTTACATTTTGGATTATTGTTTATACTGTATAATTTAATTAGCACATTGATAGCATCATGCTGTTTCTATCTGATACTGCTTTCTGATGACACATTAGGAAATTATTAGACATCATACTGTGGGAAACACTGAATGAGTTTTCTTCCATTTGGATTGATAATTATTTTCTTTCCCTAAGTATAGTTTAAAGATGAAACACGATAATATGATACTATGGGCAATCAAAGTAGGAATGAAGTTCACAGTTTGGGTAACAAGATCTCCTTCTTCCTCAATCCCTTTTCCTCTTTTCCCTCTTTCTCCCATACTGTTTAGCACATGGCTGGCTTTAAAATCTCAAAAATGAGAGAATAACGAAAAGCGAAGGAAAACCATAAATAACAGCCTAAAGTTTAAAACCCACCCAACCAATTTAAATGTTGAACTATGCAAGCACCACTTCATTTCACTTAAGGAGACAATTTTAAATGCTATCTGATCAGTGTTGGCATAATGTTAATCCAGCAGTATCTGTGGCGAACATTTGGAAAGTCTTAAACTTTGCTGAAGGTTGCTGGAGAGGCAGTAGAAATTGATAGAAAATTGTCTTCAACAAGAAATGTCAGTTACTGTGCCTGTGTGACCTCCAGTGTGCTGCAACACAAGGGAGTCCCAATTCTATTGACACTGCTACCACACAAATGAAAATATTAGGAATAAAAGATCTTTAGGTTGCAAGGTTGAAACATCTGTTTCCTTGCCAGCTCTATTTCTCTGTCCCCGCATGAGAAATTGGCTGAGAAGATCAACTCCTTTCATGCCTTGAGAGGAGCTGACCACCTACAGATGTAGAGAAGGACTTCTTGACTGTGTTCAAGTTAAGCTGAATCTAAATGAAGAGGAAATCTCGCTGAGAGACTGTAAGGTTATTATAAACTGTGAACAATTTCTTTTTTTTTCCAGTTTCCTTCTCTTCCCCTCTGCCCCTGTATTAATGAATGGATACATAGGAAAAGAAAGGATGGTTTTATGATTTAGATACAGTTTTTTCAAGGAGGTGTTCTGTTCTCAAGAAGATAAGACCCTTGCTTTCAGTGACCAAAAGAAGAAAGAATAGGAATTCTTGTTAACACCAGTGCAGGAGAATGAATGAGCTTTGAACGCACAATGAGATAAGCATGTGTTAACCTCTGCAGAAATCAGAAGTATTAATAATTCTGGAATCATCATCCTCTCACATTTTCCTATGCCTCTCCCTGCCTTGTTCCTTTTTCTGCGTTGTGCACTTAGACTGCCAGAGATACACAGATGCACCTGAATTGCTACCATTCAGCAAAACACTTTGTTCTTTATCCTTCTTCTCTTGCAGTGATGTTTTGGAAGCTCTCAAAAGAGTTAACATTTTGTTTCTACTACCTGTTCCCTATCATTTGTAAAGATTTGATGGTGAAATGATGCTGTCACTTGAGCAGTATAGCATTGCCTTCTCATTAGATTATTGATGGTTTTCTGGGGAACTGAGACATAAACACAGCATCAAGGATGAGATTTTATTGTTGTCACAGAACCTGCCCTGAAGTAAAATCATCTCCTTCCCAGCTGGCTTTCAGCTCCGTTTGCTTATAATTTCTCACCTGCTATTAAAATTTTGAGATGTATTTCTGTTTCGTTCAATCATATTTTTATTTTGCTGTTGATTCTGTTTTAGCTTTTGGGCCGGGGAAGTACAGCAAAAGCACTGCATATTTATCTAAACTGACAGGGCTTAAGGATTCGGGAAAGCAGTGTTTTTCTGGCCATTAAAGTGTCCCTTGTCCTTACTTTCAGAGCTGGATGTATGCTGCTTTCAAGCACGTTATTCTAAAGTGTTGGATATTTCATTCTTGACTGCATGTGTAAGAATAAGAATCACATTTTAGAATATACACTGTATGAGTTTATAAACAAAGCATTATAATTATGGCAAACTATTTTATATAGAATAATACAGCTTGATTTCATTCTGTCTATGTTCAGGAGTGAGAAACTGGTGAAGGTCAATGAACAGGAGCAGATACACTGATGTTATTAACTCATTGAATTGTTTTTTATCCATTAATCTACCTCCTTGAAGGCAGTGAAGAATTATTCTCAACAGTGTATTCAAAGTATTTAACCAAATCCAGCTGAAGATATTCCCAAATTTCCCTGGGGAAATTATTTCCAGGGGAATTCAAGACTGTGCCACTCTGGATGTGTTGATTTTGTTTAAAGTTTTGTATTTTGATCAAAATATCATTTTCTATCATTTTTCTCTATGCGTAAGGTTGTGCATAGCTCTCTCAGTAGTATTTTGTGGCATAAACACTTTCAATAGTAGATGTTGGCTGTACTGTCCCATTACCTGGAGTCATTATCAGAACGACGTGAAACTTTTGGGCCGTTTTTATGAGCTCCCAAGTCTGAATTGCTTTTGTTTCATCTCTATTGGAATCTTATATGTAATGAAGTCTGAACTTTCAATCCCACGTGACTAAAACAGAGAAGGTATCATGAACTCCTGAATGAGAGAAGGGGTGCCTTCCTGCCTCCATGAGCCCACTGAGGATAATCCGTTCATGGCTTTTGTATATAGGTACCATAAGTAGTAACAGTTACGTGCTTTTGATGTTACTTCTTCTTGAAATTTTCAAAGATATAGCGCTGTACTGCAGTCAGTATTTTGGGTGTCATGAATTCATTCATGCTTTCGTATGTGACCAGAGCAGTTATTCTTTTATGAAGATTTCACGCACTGAAATCAGCGTTCAGCGTAAGGTGGGGTTTTTTTTTCCTCCTTTTCGGATGGTTCTGGCCCAAATGGTATCTTAAAACTGTTAGTATTCTTCCTTCACTGCTGGGAGGCTGGTTTGACTCTGACATAATGGATAGTGAGGCAAAGCCTTCCCTTTCCAATGACTAATCAAACTAATGACTACTGTGCGAGTGGCTGCTCTTTTAAATGGCACTGGTGCTAGCAGCAAAGCTAAGAAAAGGCCACGTTTAGAAATCCTGTATGTTAGATCTGCTTTCTGCCTCCTGAAAGGATAAACTGCAAACAAAAAAGCTGCAGCTTCAGTGAGGCTCCAGAAGAAGGCATGTTTGGGCTGATGTGAAAGCTTGTTGTGTTGGCAGCAAGCTGTGATACCAGCAGCTGGAGTGTGGGTCCCCGTGTGGAGGAGGTGCAAGGTTATGTGTGACACCTGGCAGCAGCTCCACACAGCCCAACACAGCTCCAAGCTGCTCTCACCTCTGTGGTCTATGAGATGCTGCTCTCTCACCTGACGCTTCAGGTTCTTGCTCCCTCTGTTTCTGTATGCACTATATGCCTTGCAGCTGCCTCTTCTGTCTTCACTGCATTTCCTTCTATTTCTCCCCTTCGTGCTTTATATTCTGCATTTCTGAAAGGAACTTTCTGGGGGCAGTGATCATTCCTCTTGCCTGTATCCCTTAAAATCATACTGTGGTCAGCCCTGAACAGCTTAAAAGCTTAGACTTTGCTCCATCAGTAAGTCTGGCAGCACAGTGGGCTTGTGGTTCTCTAAGGCTTCAACTTCTCCCTTTGGCTCACCTCAGATGTGGATAGCTGGGAAATGAGCTGAGGGAAGCTGAAATATAGTGGTTGACCACTCTATCATGGTCATTTCAGGATGCAGACCTCTAGGTCTTTTTCCTCCCTTGAGCATGGATAATTAGATTGCTGCTTTTACACTTTATCTGTCAAAAGCTAAGTCAGAAGAGGAATCTAATGTTGACCATTTGACGTATTCCTGTGGTTCCATTGCAGTCAAAATTTCCTGAAATGCAATTTGTCTCTAGTTAGAGCTGGAAGAAAGGATGTCTTACCTCCTAAACCAGGGGGACATTGACAAGCATAGCTGTCCACACCATCCACACAAGTTCCGCTTTTGCACGGATTTGATTTGCACTCATTAACATCTTCCTGGCAAAACCCTCCGTCAAATCCATTTGGACATAAACACAGATATTCACCAAGGCCCGGAGGGAATTTAATATTGGTAACACACGTTCCGCCATTGAGACAGCTGCAGGGCTTCACTCGAACCTGAGGAAGGCAAAAGAGAGTTGTGATAAGATTCCTTTGAATAATCACTGCTGAGAGGTATATTGGTACCTGTCAGGAAGGGCCAGATTTGCAGTGCAAGCACGTTGTCTAGTATTATGAATACTTATTTCTAACCAATTTCCTTTGTCTAGATAGACGGTCTTGTACTCAGCATACTTATTTATCTGACTGGAATCTTGGCTTTAGAGGGATTTTTTTTTCAACATCACTTAGGGGCACATTCTAACTTCTTCTGAGAAAGAAGCCCTATTTGCTATAACAGCAGTTTTAACATGGTGTCTGAGGGCAAGATTTGTTCCTCATTCTTCAAAGAAATGAAAAATCTCTTCTCTTTGCCTGCCTGTGTACCATCCTTACTGCTTTACATTACAAATGGCTCCCAGTCAGGATGAGGATTGCGGCATTCTTTACCCAGTTTCTCTCTCAAGGAATAGATATCCATAATCATGTTACATATGAATGAGAACAGGATTTCAACAGATTCAAACCTCTGTACTCTCCCATCTTGTTCACTGATCTACTTTGAAACATTTCCCCTTTGCTGCCTGTGTTCAGCAGATCGGTATTTTTGATGCGAGTAGTTTGAATGAGTAGAAATTAGAGTCTTTAGGAAAAATATCCTTTTCTTCACAAAATTGTTCTTGTGCCAGGGTTCTGCATCCCACTTTATTAGCTCATCCTATCATGGGATTAATGTTAGGCTATGCAATAAAGTCATGCATGAGCTCTGCCAAGAAACTTAAAGTGTGGAGTAATGACATAAGAGCAAGACACCCTCTAAAGATATCATTGAGAATGAGTTATAATCTCCCTTTTATAGCTAAAACTCGGTCTTTTATGTTATATGCTTTTTTTTTTTTTTTTCTGCGATCCAAATGCAGAACGTGAATTTTAAAGCAGATTAATGAACCATTAACAGGCTCTAGAAGAGAGTTCTTTCAAACAGCAATCAATAGCACTCTCTCTCGTTCATTGCATATATAGTTTCTACGTTCTCAGAGATATTTATTCAATTAATTGATCGTTATTGCAATGCTGCATAATATAAGGGTTTATGAGGAAATAGCTGAAGTCTTTTTTTAGACAGTAACAAATTATTAATTATAATGACAACTGCACCAAAATGAGAACATGATAAACAGGTGTCTTATCCTTTTCTTTAAAGCATTTTTTCCTTACCTCAACAGCGTATCTGCTCTGCGCATTGCATTCATCCGACACAGTGAATTCAAAGGTCTGCATTTCTTCTGAATCAACTTTCCAGATAAGAAGGCCAGCAGGAGAGAGCCTGGCATCCTGTGGCCCATCCTCTAAGATGAATAGCACAGCTGACCCTTCCGGATCCACCGCTGTTAACTGGTAAACAAAATTCTCACCAATAAATGTCAGCAGCTGGCTGGAGGGGGCCTGGAACACAGGAGGCAGGTTGTCTAAACAGCAAAAATGAAACCATGATTACATAAATTCTTGTTTCTACCGTGTAAAGATTCACAGTGCAGGTCTTTGTAGGGGTTCTCTCAGTGATGAAAGTATCCTGAGACTAGTGGAGGAAACAATTTAGATGTTAGAGGCAGCAAATGGATTTACCAAACACACACATTTTTTTACTCCTATTTTTCTCATGTTCCATACTGATTATCGTTGATGTGTATCAGATACATGGGAGGAGTCTGGACATATGTTTTGTAACCTTTTACTGCTCCATGTCCCCTAGTTCTTAGTGAAACTTCATCTCTAACGTATGTATGCTGATCTACCCTACCCTACTCTACTGTAGCCTATTCTGTTTAAATATAAGTAAACCAATTCTCAAAATGATGAATGACAAATTGGCTGGACAACTTTTGGGGGCAAAAGTTGTGTAACTCTTCCATTGAGTAGATTCTACTCTCTTTACACGAGTGGTAATTAAGCCTCAGCAGTTTGATTGAATTCAGTTGGACGTTTCTGGAATAAAGATCTTCTCAGTGCCAGCAGATGTACATCTGTGATACTGAAATTCTCTATCCCCAGAGACAGTAGTGCATATCATATCAACATTGGTCTTGTTATTTTTAGTGTTCTTTTCATTGTTGTTTACATTCAGTATTTCCTTAATGATGATAAAAGCCTAATTATACTGGGCTATTGTACAGTAACAGACAATTGGTGCCTGAAGATATTTACAATAAAAAGATGCGAGCAAGGCAAGGTGGAGAAAAGTAGTACGTTTTAATATTAGAAACCAAGGAAAAGTAAGATCAAATGAATACCTTCAGGTGACAGCAGCACTATGCAGGGCTGGAAATTTCATCTGAGTGTCAGAAGCCTTCTCGATCTCCAGCCTCTTTCCTCTCCAACCAGCAGTACAAAGTGACATATACTGATTTTTAAAGGAATCTTCTCACAATGCAACTTGTCCACAATTATTTTTAACTTAGAGAATGTTTATGATAATTTAAAGTCACACTCTAAAATTATGACCCGTATATTTGTTCTCATAAAGACAACCTGTGTCTTTGCATCATCAGGGTTTCTTTTGTGTGTGCATATCCTTCTATCACGCTTTGCTTTCCATAGCATGCCTCATATTATGCAGCTATTTAAATGCCTCTGCATTTACTCATTGCTGCTGTGCTATCAAAGCTTTCTAAGCTGCTTCTCCAGCAGATTGTCCTGGCAAAACTGTTGAAATCTTCCATCTATTAATTTAACTTCTGCTTCATAAACAATCAAGGCGTGGAGCCCATAAAAGTTGTGCCCAAAGTTATCAATGAAATATTGATGATGGTGTGCTTTTAAAGATAAACACAAAGATTGTGTTTACTGGATGGAGGGTAAATGGTGTTATAGACACAAAAGAACATAAAACCAGATCTTATGTGGCAGCAAATCTGGAGGTGTTAGCTGAGAACTGGCTGAATATGAGCCAGCAGTGTGCCCAAGTGGCCAAGAAGGCCAGTGCCATCCTTAGCATTCAGAAGGTGCTTGAATGTTTGAAAGGCAGCTTTCCCCATGACCCCTGCTATGAAGAGCTGCACAATGAGATGCTTGGTTTCCTTATCACTTAGAGTCTGGACCATTCCATAGTCTTTTGTGTGGCAATTTACAGTATTTGGCTCAGAGATTTCTTACAGATACCAAAAATATACATTCGTGTTTTAAAAGCAGTGTTTTCTTCAAATTGTTCCCTTAAAGATTTGTACCTGTGAGACTATCACGGATGTTTTTAGGGTCCATCACCTTTTGCTGACAGATATGGGCTCTGTATGTGGTATCAGCATATGAAAAACTTCTTTATAAGCCATTATTTTGATTTTATTAATTAAAGATTTGTCAGGTTTCAGCCAGAACAAGAGGAGAAGCCAGATGAATAGTACACATAGTGGAGTACTTTGTGTGTCTGTTCAGTCTGTATTTGTTGTGCACCCAATTGTTCCCACTGCAAACAGTCCACAAGCACTGTGCAGAATAGATCCATATCAACAAATGGAGAAACTGTATTTCATAAACTGAGTACTAAATTCCCAGCTAAGTGCTTCTAAATTTTAGAAAAAGCTGTCTTACTTTCATTAATAGACCAGGTGAACTTAGAAATATCAGGTTCACAGAGAAGACAAGGACTGGCAGGGCTTGACTCTCCTTCCCCATAGCAAAGTCCATCTATATTACAAGTATTGTCCTGTCAAAAAGAGGAAATAAAAATGGGTGGGAGGTGGATGCAATTAGGAAAAAAAAAAAAAAAAAAAAAGTTAAGAAATTAGCAGTTAATATATTTTGGAGATGAGCAGAATCTTGCTTGTTTCTTGAAACAATAAACTAATATCAATTTATATGCTGGTACTTTCTCCTGACAGGGAAAAAGCACGACGTGGAGATTATTCAGTTTTCACATAAGATCCTTGTAGCTTTGAATCCTTTATCATAGGTAACATGTAATGCTATTTGTCATAGATGAATGTGAGCATGATTCTGTTTTCATTTTAACAGTATGTAGTGGATGTGATTGTTATTCCCAGCTGTGACTACTGATGTGACTATTCGATACCCCTCAGATGTGAAATCTCATGTAGATGTGTTCAAGAATCATGTAGATGTGGTCCTAAGGGACATGGGTTAGTGGGTAATATTGGTGGTGGAATAGTACCACTTTTAAGAGCAATAGGTAAAATACCCACAAAACCCAGACCTAGAAGGACTTTCATAATTTTCCCAGTGTGATACAACATGACAGATCTCCAACATTAAAATTTGGATGTGAATGAGATTTTATTACATTGTTGCTTTCAAAGTTCTGATGAAAAAGCTGCTGTTTTTCTGATGTGGTAATGTGGTAGAGAATAGGCTCCATAAAAGAGGAACACAGAATGCAAACTGGCCTGGTATAAAATGTCCCTTAATTGAAACACCTTTTCTGAAAGCAATTTAGGTATTACAAAGTGATGTTATAAGAGGAGTAATTAGAAAGTGGTTTGATGCAATTGGAAGCCTAGTTCAAATAATGCCTTGAAGCATCTCAGGCTAGAAATTATTATGACACCAAGAGAAAACCAGCATATTAAGATGGCATATGTATTTCTGAGTTCCAAAAATGTAAGAATAGGGAAAGCCCTTATCATAAAAACAACAACAACAAATAGTTTTAATTGACATGGTTATGACATAATTATTTTTATTCTTAAATTGAAATAGCTTTGCCCTCATTTGAGCTTATAAACTAGTTTTCACTTACTGATTTATTAGAAAAATGTGATCTTTCATCTTATTTTGGTACTTTATTGCAATCAGTGCAACTATAAAAAACTGTGTTTTCCCATTAGTGTTAATGAGAACAGCCAGGCAAATAGGTTAAGATGTACCTGATTAATCTTCATTTTAAAAGAATGAAGACCGGTGGTCTCCTGTTCACTTGCGCTTGCCTCAGGGTAGGAAAGGATTAGCACATTCAAATATTCTTGTCAGCACCCTCCAAAAGTATCTTTTAAAGCCCCATTGAAAAAGAGAAAAGGTGTCTAATGCAGTCCTATAGAAAATGAGAGCAAGCAATCTATTTTTCAAGGGATGAAGGATGTTACACTGGAAAGTTCACAGGAAAACAAAAGGATATACTGCTCTCCTCACAGTTCCCAGTGCTCCAGCAGTTTTAAACGTAGCACTAGGCTTTTGATTATGGTTTTGAAGCTGTCAAAGCACTATATGTTTGTACTTAGTGTTATTTAATGTAAGCAAGAATGTTTTACGTTCTCTCAAGGGTGTTTTCTCATGACAAAGACTATGAAACATACATTGAGACAGCAGAAAATGGGTGTAGAAGTGAAATACCTTACAGCTGCATTACCCCATCCAACTAGCCTGAGAGAGCTAACAGAGCTTCCTAGGAAAGATAGTTCAAAGCTCCATGGCAGGGCAGCCACAGCCCAGCCCTATTTACTTCCATTGACATCTGCACACATACCTGTTGTCTGCTATGCTCTTTGGGAAGCATCCTTCTGAGAAAGGTCCTACATAAAGAGTGCATATACATACATAAATATATGTATATATAAACACTCACAGACAGATTATGAATGACAGAAAAGTATCAGTTCTGCTGAACTATGAAATAGATTTTCCTCTTCTAAAACAGTTATTGCACACAATGCATCAGAAGGAGAAAGAGAGGGCTGGGGAGGACATGAATGATCCATATTAAACATTTATGCTCTTTAAATTACCTTTAATTTACAAAGTCCAGTTGGATGGGATTCGCAGGCCTGGCAGACTGCGTCGTACAGGGTCAGCACTCTGGAATTACTGTACTGGAAGCCATCATCAGTGATCTAAATGATACAAAAATCATCCTTATAAGTAATAATGTTCCATATGGAGACTGTCTGCTCATTTTGGAGCATATACTGTTGCACCCTTGAACTGGATGCCTGCCAGTAAGACAAATTAAAGCACTTGTGAGTCGCTCTACTGCAAGCTAACAAATTGCTTAATGTTCCAAAGTGGAAACTATTCATTAATAACTAGAAGATCTTTTGGCTCAGCTGGCATTCAACTTTCCTGGTTGCCGTTAGGTGCTTCTTTTGTTAGTTTGTTTTGTTTTTGTTTTTGATTTGCTCAGTATGCTTGTGGAGACTGCACAGGGACTTGAGTACCATAAGGATGGATTTCAGGAAGGTGTGAAATGAAAGTACGATATTTGGCTGAAGTTTTGGGTCGCTTTCTTACTATATGGTAAATCAGTTAGTAATAATCCTAAGGAAAAAAAAAAAAAAAGGAAAGGATGCTTTATATTAACCTCTAAAAAGTGCTAGGGTGGATAATATCAGACAGCAACAGTCTTATTTCCATAGGAAGGTATATTAGAAGGGCACCCCTGTACACGTAGGCTCTTTAGAAAGCCTTAATTTAGGATGGCAGTTTTAATATATGACTACTTACAGAATAAAAAGGGTTATGTGCATTTAAATTTAATTTTTTTTTTCCTAATAAAAATGAGAAGATACCAGATTAGTGTGGAAATCCAAATGTAAAAACACTTTTTGAAGAAGTAAAGTACCAGTACTTGATCTAGGGGTTGGCAAGCCTGCCTACAGCAGGGGGGCTGAAAGTTGGTGGTCCTTGAGGTCCCTTCCAACCCAAATCATTCTATGATTCTAAAGAGCTTATCCTCCTCGCTGTGAGAAGAACAAACAAAAGAGGCAGCACTCCAGGGCTGTCTCTTCTCTGAACTGCAGTGCTTACTGGCAGCAGAACTTCCATTAAGAATATATTATTCTTAATGCATTTTACATTCCATTTCTCTCTTTAACCAGAGCGACCAGTGTTGTTTCAGTGTTAGTGCACTAATAATGGGTGAAATGAGTAGACAGGGAAAAATATAAAAAGGTATAAAATAGACTTAATTTTTATGTCTGAAGTGAGCATTGTGAATGGAAGGTAACTGTTTCCATTTCCTTTTAAATCTGTATTTTTTCCACAGATTATTATAAACTTCCATTTTGATACCTTTTTAGAATTGGGTCCTTTTATAGTTGTTTCAATTGCTTTTCCATTAGTCGCCTTAGTGATGTGAAACAAAGTCCAAACACAGTGATGAGAACTGAGCTGGGGCAAACCTCTATTCAGATTGGGTTGACCCTTAAATGCCAAAAGCTTGCTGAGAGCTGTGTCTTGCTTGTTTGAATGCTGTGTCCCCTGGAAAGGGAGAGCTGCTGCTTCTGGACCAGCAATCAGGACAGGGAGGAGGTCTTTCCTTCTACCCACAGTGCATTTCATGCACCATGAAGCTATCTTGGCTGCTTGTGTCGCTCATCACTGAGATACAATTTGATTCACATGACTTGTTGAATTCAAATTCAGCTTCTGCCTCACTGACTTGTAAGCAAATATGTTTTTCCTGCTCGTGACAAATACAGGCAATGATAACAAATTGAAGATAACCACAGAACTGCTTCCCAAATTAGGTAAGTGCCTGCCAGGCTCTCCCACCCCTTCACCCAGGTGCCTGCATGGACAGCCTGTGTCAACTGCTACCAAGTGGGAGTTGTATTTTGATATTCAAAGCAATTATCCCATGAGCTCTGGTGTAGCCCATGTATTCTTAATCAACATGCAGCACCATGCCATGGAAAGAACAAGTAAAATATGAAGCAGGAATACATAAAAGAGCACTGAGAAGAGCTTGGGAAGCTCTTGTTCCCCCAACATTGATAGTGAAAAAAGCTTATGTGAAACTTTGCTGATTCCCTTGAAATTTGCTTTGAGTCTGGGGAGAGATTTTGAAAAAAACTGAATGTTATTTTTTTTAATATTTATTTTTATTTTGGGAAAAAAACTTTTTCCTGCATTTGAGAAAGTATCTATTAATATAAACATGAAGTTCAACATTGAAGTAAGTCATACCAGGAATTTTCTGGTGTGCAAATTTTTGAATGCTTGTGGAAATCATTTCAAACCCTTTTTTATCTTGAAATCATTTTGTTCTCTGCGCTGTCACATAGAGCTCGCTGCTTTTGAAACCAAGCTTCGACTTCTGCCTTCACAATTCTTTCAGCAAAAAAATCCACGGGAGGACGGGGGTTAGCATGCCAGAGTGGGACTGAGGGGATTTAACTGTGCACACATTGCCCAGCCACGGAGCTGGTTCTGCTGTAGCGTTCAGAGGTGAGGGGAAAGGCAGCAGACTCCCAAGCACAGAGATCTCTTTGAACTCAAATGCAAGGAAAAAGGCCTTCTACATGTGTTTTAGGAGGAAAAAAATAAGAAAAAATGACACAGACCTTCTCATGGCTGGAAAGCAGCTCCTGAAAGCAAACTGAGTCGTAATGCAATCTGGCTGCACGCCACCTATCCTGGTTGCACTGGAGAAAGGGCTGATGGGCGAGCTCTGCTCTCACAGAAATTTTGCACCCAAATGTTTTATTTTTACGTGTGGCAGTGTTCAGAACACAGCTGTGGTCTTTCTTCCACTGCAAAATATTTTTCTCAGTGATGGAGCATTTAAATGAATTCAGTCTTAGCAAAGGAACTTATCTGCTGAAATTACCAGCCAGGCTGAACACTAGACCAAAGGGAGCAGGCACAAGATCAGCCAGACACCAATGTCCTAGAATATTTAGAATTTAAGTATCACAAAAGAGGCTAAAACTGCAGCAGAGCTGACCCAGCTCATGCAGGCACTGCACCCATAGCCATCCAAGACCACATGGTGCCATGCCTGCTCACTGTGCAGTGCAAATGTCTGCCTTGTAACCAGAGGTCAGAACCACTTTGCACTTGCTTCCTAATCATGAGTTTGAGCTGGAGTTTCCAGAAATGAAATACTAATGATTAACAATTGATTAGTCCAGCTGCATCAATCTCAGGTGATTACCTGGAGAAGTGATTGCAATTTGCGCTTTTGGATTGTCTACAAAGACACCTGTTTTTAGCTCCCATTGCTTTGGTTGTGTTTTCTCCCCCGTCTCCATGACATTAATGTGATGCATCTCCTATTCCGAAGGGATGCACATGCACTTTGCTTTTTAATTTACCATGACAACTGATTTTCTTCTTCTAAATCATGTCTTAGAAACATAAGAAGAAATTCCTACTTTCACTTGCCATCTTGCGAACGGCTCATCGCCAGCTACAAAGTGCACAGCCTCCGTCTCTGTAATGTTCAGGAGAGGAATCTGGCAGTCAACAGCCTTAGAGCTGAGAAAATCTGCTTGTGTGGTTTCTTGCTCTCTTGATATCCATTCGCCGTTGAGATGCTACAGTTAAACAGAAGGAGAGTGCAGAAACTCAGGGCTCGTACAAAGAAGTTCCAGTTGTCAACATATGCTTATATTTCTAATTAATAAGAGAAGGAGTTTACAGATGGTTTATTAAAAGAGGTGATGTTGTTACTATAACCACAACAAAGAGCCATCCATGCTGCTCTGTGCATGCAGGCGATCTATTGCTTTAGGAAGGCATTTTGGATGAGCAGCTAGGATGAGCCAGGGGAAGGTGGTGGAGCAACACTGTGGCTGCTCCTCGGGCTCTGCAGCTTGAATACCTTCTGACACGTTCAGGTAATGTCTGCTGCTGAGCTAGACTGACTGCATCAAATATCACTACTTGCTCAGGGCACGTGATATCGTAAGCGAGCAAGGTATGCTAATCTCAGCTGTGTCTTGTTAAGAATGAAAGGGAATCAGGCTGAACATCTTTTTATGAGGCAGATTTATGAGATGAATCCACATCTCCTGTCTGTGCATGCAGACGTACCAAATAATTCAGTCTTAGCATTGCCCTTGTGTAGTCGTTCATAATAAAATTATAGCGTTAGCAGAAGAAATGGGTTTAATAGTGACTAGAACTTGTGACTTGGTATTGAACTATTGAAGCTTATAACTGTGCGGAGGAAGCCTTGTGTTTAACTGCAACAATTAGCATTCAAGCAAGTTTAAGAAAACAACCAAGTGTACGCATTGCAGATGTACAAAATGAGAAATAATATTTGTGATTTCAGGACTACACTGGACTACAGTGTAGCTGTACCAAACAAAGGTTAAACAAAAGCCCGCAGAACAAAATTGGCAAGATGTAGCTTTGCATTTCCAAGGAATCAGGAAAGGGCTGAATTTGTTCAGCTCCCCCCACTCATAGCAAACACATTGGCAATGGTATCTGTACCCACTGCAGCAGTGGGAAGGTACTCTGTACTGCTCAGGGTTGAGGAGTTTAATACAAACATCATCAATACTTGATGAGCCCATGGGAAGTTGCTTACAATTAATCTGGTGACTTCACAGTGCAGATGGGGAGAATCCTTGAAGCCAACGCCAAACACTCGGACACGACTGCAGTCAGAGGTGCGAATGTCACATAGGCCCCTGTTCTCCAAGCTTGTGATTTCCAGAGCTTGCTCTGAAATGACAGAATGTTTAAGACAGTAACACATGCTGTTGCTCTCTGGTTTATCAGAGGTTTTGTGGTTGTTGTTATGGTGTTGCTTTGGCTGACCCTGTTAAGGCGTTGGCTGGGAGGATGGTATTTATGGCATAGCGAGCAGAAGCATCAAGGTGGGAAGTGGAGATATCTGAAGATGGCTAAGCCATCAGACTCCTCATAAGATGAAACAGCTGGGTAAAAGGCATTCTTTTTCATTTAAAAAGCTGTGGGTGTAATAAAAATAATGTCCTCAAAGGAATGCTTGCTTTGAGGGTTAAGTCTTTAATGGGTGAAACTCAGATCTGCGCAGTGTCAGCACAAGTGTCATGTGCCACATAAGTTTCCCTTAAATCCTATTTTGAGGCCTTAAATAGGGTTCAAGTGATATACAAGTGATGTCCCCCTTATGGGGTTGATTTTCACCCATTACTGTTCTTAAAATGCTTTATGATTCTCAGATAAAGTTTCATTTGTATGCTGTTACGCTTCAGGTATTCATCATTTAAAATTGCTCTTTGCCTTCATACTGCAGTTACTTTACAGAGTCAAAATGAAAGGTCATTGTGCAGCAAAATTCACATCTTTACCTCAGCCAAAGTTTAATTGGGCAGATGTTCACCATAGGCTGTGGGATAGCACATCACTAGGGAGGTCTCTGACACCCTGTCAATATCAGCAGTCTGTCAGGACCATGGCCCCACGTATTCCTTGATAACATTTGTAGTTCTCATGGTCAGGAGAAGCAATTATGATGACAAACAATATAAAACAGAAGACTTGCTTCTTGTTTCCCAAATAATATTTAACAGCAGGAGTATGATTGGGAGCCCTGGGAGGCAGTGCACACTCCTGCATGGTGTACCATGAACTGTTTGCCTCCTGCATGGCAGGGAGAGGCTGCAAAGCTTTTCTGGTTCCCTGCTCCATCACCGTTGCTCTGGCAAAACAATATTGCCCATCAGTTTTCTCTGAGCTGTGTCTTATCTAAAACATAAGCTTAATATTTTAATGGCACTTTGGCTCAGTTCTGATTCAAGGGGCAAAATGCCCTTAGCTGAGCTGATAACCTTCCCCATACCTCGCTATTCTTTTAGGGCTCTGCCATTTACGCTGTAAATAGGATGAATGCTGTTTAAACATTGCCAGATTGCAGCCCATAACAACATAGCTGCATGACTCTCATTTTTTTCAGAGAAAGGAAGGGAAGCAATATAAACGTGAGAATTAGTGAGAAGATTTTTTTTCTGTACTTCTAAAATGCTTCTAGGTTTTTTGGTTTTGTTTGTTTGTTAGGTTTTGTTGTTGTTGTTGTTAGAGATTTTATTGCAGCAGTATTAGTAGTACTGTTGGACACTTTGCAATATTTACAAGAAGAGAAATGGTTTACAGCTCACCAGCATTCATTTAGTTGTGAATTCCTGCAATGTACAAAAATATTAGTCAGATGGATAGAACGGTTTTGATAAATTGCTTTTTTACGTGGTTAGTGCATAAAAAAATAATTTAAAAAAAAAGCTTCATTACTTTTTTCATGAGATTTTAATGGCTCCCCCTACTAGTACTGAAGTAGCTCAGACTGCATTAACATTTTCATTATCACTGTGGTTTTTCAGGCTTCTGTGGGTGAAGTAAAACCCCATAAATTGGGAGCAAGTGAGGCACAAGAATGTGCTCCAGCAGCCCTTCCTTCTCCAAGGCCAGGCTTTGAGGCTGGTTTCTTGCTGATGAGCTCTGCGTGCTTTTGAGAGGATTCCTTACATCTCCATGAGCATCCTGGCATTACTGTGTTGGGGCCAAGACAAAATGACCCAGCCTCAGTGCTTTTTGAAATGACTTTGGAACGAGCTGCCCAGAGAGGTGGTGGAGTCACCGGAGGTGTTCAGGAAACCTGGAGGAGTGGCACTGAGGGACATGTTTAGTGGTCATGGTGGGAGTGGGTTGATGTATTGTCTAAATAATCTTAGTGATCTTTTCCGACATTCATGATTCCATGATTCTATGACTTACAATATCAATAGAGAATTTCTTAATTCTTTCACCCAAACTGTTGCGTATGCACTTGTGTGCAGCAGCATCTTTAAGTTGGTCTAAATCTGGAGGAAATATGTTCCAGTGTATGTGGTGGGTACCTTCTCCCAAGACGTGTGGGCTGCTGTGGGCTAATCAGGATGAAAAGGAAATTTCTTTGCTGGTGGAAGGGGTGAAATGTTGATGTAAGAAGAACGCACTGTGTGTTTCTGCAGTTTGATGAAGGTGGGGAGGAAGGAAGGGACTCATCTTTTGTCTGAGTGGGCTTTTTTCTGTTCCAGTGTGATGGTGGAGGAGGCTGCATTGAAACTATTTCTCTATTGTCTTATTTCTGGCCAGCTGAAGACGTAGTGCTGATGAGATGTTGGAGTCCTCTGGGTTTTTTGCAGAGAGTGCTGGGAGAAGATGGAGAAAGTCTGATGGAAATTTTATGACTCATTTTTAAACAAATGGATACCAATGCTCAGGCTTTAGATCTCAGTATATGCAGCACATAACTTTAAAAAATGTTAATTACATTTAATGTAATGCTTTTTGAAAATGAGACATCACATTAAATGGGTGTAGGAATTTTAGGCATTTACTTTGAACATAATTTTGATCTGTCTATCCCTCTGTCTTCCTTCTTATTTTTTTGCATATGTGAACCAATTTCAACTGAATGTGGAAGAGGAAATCTCAATGATGTTATCTCTGGAGAAGTCTCCTGGCAGTCAGTAGTTGGGTACCCACCCATATCCTTGATGGGGAAAACTCAAGTAAGGCTGCTCTTTGTTTCTGATGTTAGTGAAGGGGAAATTAATGAGCCTATGTATGACAAATGCTCGAGGACCACGGAGTTCCATATGTGATAAGGAAATTAAATTAGGGAGCCTGAAAACTCTCAGCAAAAGAGCTACCAGTAGTTCAACAGAAAATTGGTGGGGAGGAAGGCAGAAGTAGAGGGGAGAGCTGGGGAAGCTCACAGGGGTGAGAATAAGGGCAAAAGTTTAGGTACTCACAGAAACAGGTCATGGAGATATGGCAACCAACATGTGATTGCCGTGTTGGGGCAAGCTAAAGAGGAAGGGGGCAGTCCAACTCCTGAAGAGGGCTTTGACTTTAAGGTTACTTCTAAGAGGCCCCCAAGATCTTGGGTAATTAGATGGAAGGATGGGTTCAATTCCAGTTGGTTAGTGATGTTTGCTTTGTGCAAAGCAACAAGCAGGGAGCCAGCCCCATCCCATTGCTTCACTCCCAGAAGGAATGTACTGGAAAGAGCAGCAAGCTCAGAGCTGCTGATGGTACATGCTCTTTCTGCAGGCACTTACATGAGTCATACTTGACAAGGCGCACAGGCTACCTAATAGATGTAAAAAAACCCTGTATAAATACACAATTGGTTTTATAGGTATTTGCTGTAGTGTATTATATAAATGTGCATAGATATTGAAGTAAAATGTAGACATTTGACACAAAATCAAGAATTTTGTAAAACTACACTCACTGAAATTTTAGTGATGGACAGGTATAGTGCATGTTTCATTTCTGCCTTTGATTAGAAATATATCCTAGCACAAATAAACATCCTTCTGCAGTGTTTGAAAGCTACACGTGTAACTTTGGGCTGGAGCTGCAGACCTGAAATCAAAACTGGCAAGAAGTTTGTTCAAATAATGAGAAGGGAATGGAGTACCTCCTTTTCTTGCTCAGGGTGATAAATAAGCACCTAGGTCATGAAAAGCAAATCAGGCACCATATCATAAGCATCAGAGATGATCTTCAAGTGGAAAAGAAAATTGCCCATGTTAATAGTCCAATACAATATTTATAAAGCAGGTTTTTAGAAGCATGTGGATACACACAGGCCAAGCTCACTTTGCTGTGTCCTGATGTGGCTGGTTGCAAGCCAGCCCTGTGCTGGAAGTTATCAAGCTGTCTGAGCAGGCTCTAGGGCTTACTGGCCTGGCTGTGGGCACCTGGATGCATGATCCAAAAGGGTCTGGCAAAGGCTGCCTGGTGCTTGGTTATCTCACAGCTTGGGCAAAGCAAGTCTGAATTTGCCTACTTTCTAATGCATCCAAGACTATTATCTATATTTAGTGTGTAGGGTTATTACAGCAATCATATGCACAATTATTGTATGCATGAGTCTGGTATTCAAGATGTACCTATCCCAAAGCTCATTTGAAAATCCTCCCTAAGAACAAAAAGGACTAGCTATTTTATTCTCTTTCTCAGGATTTTTTGCACACCAGTTATTTCCCTGGCTTCCAAATCAGGAGCATGCTTGTCCCTGCTTGTAAAACCCAAAGAACTTGAGTTTATCCAAGTAGCAAGATATAGACCTATGTTCTTTAGATAACATGGAGAGGACCTGGTATTCTGCTTTGGTGGTCTGTAGTATCCAGGGTGGATTGCAGCATGTGTGTTTATTATGCATGAACCAAGCTTTGCAGTCAGGGTACATTTTGGGTCATACTGGATGGCCATGAAAGGTAGCCAAAACCTGAGATCTGAACAGGAGCCTGAGAATCTATTCTGAAAGTCATCCCCGGTAAATATCACCTGACTGAATCCCATTTACCTGCCAGTCTCTTAATTGATTGTTTCTCTTTAAATTTTCTGGTTCCTCATATCAGCAATCAGTGCCAGGAACTGCAGTGAGAGCAAGAGCAAGCCCTGGCAGAGAGTGGCAAAGGCGTTTTGTGAGTACTTTAACTCCGTGCTTGTGAGAAATGGACTGCTTCAATTTCACACTGAAAGCATCCATGTGCTGCTACAATATGGTAGATTATTTTTGCTTTAGAAAGCTCACTGTGACATTTTATGTCTATTTGATCTCTTCTATTTTTAAAAGGCTCACTAGCAATTTACTTCAGCAATAGAATGGGAAGAAAAGTGTGCTGTTAACTATAGAATATTGCCTCTTTTCTAAATGGCCCTGAAAGGTGGTAAAATATAAGATC